TGCTTGTGCTCTTCTATCTCTCTGCTCAATAAATAAATAAAATCTTTAAAAAATAAAAATAAAAAATAAATAATGTACCCTTTCCTTTCAGACCTAAGCACAAGAAACTGTTACCTTTGAGAATTGCTATTTCTTCTTCCTGCTATATTGAGAGTTGATATTTCCTCTCCCTGTTATCATATTGAGAGTTGATATTTCCTCTCCCTGTTATCAGTCATATTTCTGTGTTTTTCGTGTAGGAATTCATGGGGAAAAATATATTTGAAACATTTAGATGACTACAGATGGAATTGGTTTCTGTTTAGCAATCTTTTCAACAAATAGTATTTTTCTTTGAGTGGCCGATGGTAATAGAGAGTTCTGTTGGGAAAAAGACTCCAAAGGATCCATCCCCTAGATTTAGATCTAGGTCACAGCTCAAGGAGCTTCACTGATATAATGAGGGCCGGAGTTGGAGTTTAGAAAATTGGCAGATGAATGGCAATCTGGAAGTAGGCTGCTTTTTCCAGTAGCAGTTAGGAAGAAGGAGTAACAGCTAGACAGCCAGTCAGTCACACTCCAGGCAGAGATCTGAGTGGTTTTATAGGCTGAGGGAAAAAGCAAAAAGAGCGAGTGAAGATATCATTCCCTCCGTTTGTGTTACTGCTACACTTCACAGGCATTCTGCTTTTCACACTGTGTAGCAAGTGCTTACTTGAATGTTCATTTACCTAGATCATTTCCTTGTTTAGAATCTTTCCCAGGATATTCTCAGGATAAAATCCAAGCCTCCTTAATTGGCATCCAGGGTCAGCCTCAGGCGGCTGGTGCCTGCACACCCCCACACTACCCCCGTGTTGCTCCTCTCCCCCGTCCTAGACTGTAGTCCTTCTGAATCTCGCTTGGTCCTTACATGCGCCGTACTTTTCTCTTATCACGGGGTCTTCCCACATCCTGGTGCCTGTGTCCGAACCACTCTTCCCTCCTTCCCAAACCTGCCTCTCCGTTTGGCTAACTCCTGTGCATCCTTCAGTGTCACTGTTCCAGGAGGCCCTCCCAACTCCTTGGGCCAGGTCAAGTTCCTCTCCAGCAGAGCATGCTCTGTTCTCTTGACATATCACTTTATTGCACTTATTTGCCTAATTTCTCTCTTTTCCTATGGACCTTAAGTTCAGTGAGCCCAGAAACCATGTTTCCTGTGTTTAACCACAGTATCTAGAGCCTGTAAATAGGAGTATTCTACAAATATGTATTCCATTTAATTAATTTACTATATTCTTAGAATAATACCTATAAATAGTGAAGTTCTTGCTTAATAAACCAAATGAATTTAACTATTTCTTGATGAAAATGTTTCCACAGAAAACACACACCTGCATACCAATTTTCTTTAGAGAATTAAGCATATTCTTTTTTAAAAAAGATTTTATTTATTTATTTGAGAGAGAGCACAAGCAGTGGGGAGGGGCAGAGGGAGAGGGAGAAGCAGACTCCCCACTGAGCAGGGAGCCCGATATGGGGCTCGATCCCAGGACCCTGGGATCATGACCTGAGCCGAAGGCAGACACTTAACCAACTGAGCCACCCAGGCGCCCCAAGAATATTCTGAATATTATTATTCCATGTAGTACATAACCACTAATCTTATGGTTTATCTTTTTTTAGGAGCAGGAGCTTGATGAAGAATAGAAGAATTTCTGGTTGTTTACATGATATACAAGCCCACCCAATTCAGAATTTGCATTCTTCCCATTCATCAGGTATTTTTTCATCAAATTTTCTTGTATACTGAAAAAAGCATCAAGTCCTGGCTCAATTACTACCTTGTTTCATGTTCTTATGCAAATCACTTCATCTTCTACAAGTTTCCATTTTCTTTATAAAGTGAAGGGGGTGGGCTGGGTGGCCCTTTCCATGTCTAAAATTGTGTGCTATGTGATTTATTTCAAAGCCTTTTAGTAGAGTAGCTAATTCAAATGTGAAAAAACGTTTAAAAGAAAAAGCTATAGGAATTTTTCCAGTCATAATTATTTTATGTGAATATGGATTACAACATTAATTTTCCTATAGAGGGGAAATATACATTGTATATATATGTATGTGTATATATATATATATATATACACACACTGCAAATTTGCATGTGTAGCTAGCTACCTGTAATAATTTAAATGCCTACCAGGTGGCAGTGGGTCACTACACAGCAATAAAGAAGAACCAATGACTGTTTCACTCAACAACCTGGATGAATTCCAAAAACATTATATGGAGTGAAAGCAAGCAGATAATAAGTAGATATTGTATGATTATATTTCTATGAAGCTGAAGAACTAATGTATGATGACAGAAGCCAGAGTAGTTCAGAATAGAACAATGGCTCAAAATGACAGACACCTGTTGGAATGCCATTGTGGACACCTTGTACACGTTGATCTAAGTGGGGGCGTACACACATGTAAAAACGATAAGCTGTAACACTTAAGACATGCACACTTTATAGGCTATATACCTTAGTAAACAAAAAATTAAAGTTACCGTGTAATGTAATAATCTATTTGATAATAGCATTAATGGAATAGAAGTAGTCAGGAAAGAAACTGTAGCTCATCTTGACTTTAAAATAAATTAAGCTTCTTTTTAATCATAAAATTACCTTTTAGGAAGATAATTACTTGTTTAATCTAAGGGAAAACAAAGCAAGGGGTCAGCTTTTTGTTTACCAGCATAATAAAAGGTTATATATCTGTGGTATCAAGTTATTTACTCAGTATTATTTGAGAGTAAGATGTTTTACAAAAGTAATTTTTCCGGATAATTTAAAGCTGTCTTTTTTAAGGGCCATATTTAAAAATTAAATAAAATACAAGAGGTCTTTGCTTGTTTGCAGTTTTCAAAGAGGGAAACAGAAACCACATGTGTCTTTAGTATGAACCTGCCCAGGCAGCCATGGGCCTCTGGATGGTGCACAGTGCAGCTCTGGGAAGTTGAGCAAGTGTCCTAACTTCTCACCTTAAGTGCCATACTTTTAACTAGAGTTTTGCAAGGCTTTTTAAAATGTTGATGCTGGATTTTAGAATGCATTAACATCATTATCTTCTTAAACAAAGAATATATTGTTAACTGCTCATGATGAATATTATCATTATCATCATTATGATACTATTACCCTACAGTGATAGAGCTTTGCATTTTGTTGTTTTTTTTTTTT